TTTACAGTCACCATAGTCATCGTCGTTATCGTCTTCATCTTTACAGTAGGGCATTAACAGAGTACTCGAGTAATCTACACATGGATTGCTAGAACATCTATCGAGGTTAAAAATGTAACGTCGAGTATCCGTAGTGACGTCATATTATGTGACCACCGTATGACCGTAGGGGGCGGTGTTGCACTGTTGCAGGTCACAGAGTTTGGTGTAACACCGGGTCCAATCCACCGCCCATCCACTGTTTTAAGTTTTGTTTCTGACGTGCTGCGTTTCTTCACGTTTGCCGTTTAATAATAAAAACTAATAGTTTAGTTTTTCCTGTGACTTATTTGCAGTATGATAAATGGGAGGAGCATAATATACGCTCCCAATGTTTGGTTGGTTATTTTTTTTTTTATAAATAATTACCTTTTATTTTGGTTTTATTTATTTTTGTATCTTGAGACCTATGACGTCATCAAATACTCGAGTTCTACTCGTGTTTTATTATGTTAATGTTGAGTTTAAAAATTATATACTTGTTCAACCCCTACTTTACAGTCATCATAGTCATCATCATTAGTCATGGTAGTCACCGTCATCAGCTGAGAACAGATAGTCATGTGATCGGGGCCTCACCTGTAGTCTTGTTCCATCTTGTTGAAGAGCTTCATGAACTCAGCACTGACTTCTTCTCTGATCTGAGCCTCCAGAACCAAACGGAGCGCCGCCTCTCCACCCGACTGAGACGAACGCCACCCGTCTGATCGCTTCTGATCACCGGCACCTGATGGGATCAAACGCTGCTGCTGGAGACTCACCGTGGCTTCCTCCTCCATGGTCTGATCTTCCTTGTCCTCACCTTCAGCCTCCAGTACAGTTCCCTCCATCACACTCTCCTCCTCCTCCTCCTCGTCCTCCTGAACGTCCTCCAGGCTCGTCTCCCAGGCAACAAGGGAGCTCTTCCTGCCCTGCCTCAAGGTGTTTCTGTGCTGCTCTGCCTCATCCACTATGATTGACAGATCCATGGTGGACTTGTGGGGGCCCTTGTCCAGAACTGTGGGCAGTGAGTTCATCACCACCACCTGGACAGGTAAGAGCAGAGGCCCCGCCCCCTCAGGCTGTTACAGACAGAATTACTGAAGAAAGTTTTCTGTGTTCAGATCCAAGTTTACCTTCTGAGCCAGAGCGGAGAACTTGAGGACGTTGAGCGTCTCGTCGAAGCAGGACGGGTTCTGGTTTATGTTGACCACCATGGACACGCGGCCAGCACCACAGAAGAAGAACTGCAGGAAGTGGGTGAGTTTGGACTCCCTGAAGGGGATGTGGTGCTGGAACCTGCAGAGACGTGTCAGATTTACTCCACCACGGAGTGGGTCGGTGCAAACTGAGACATGGGGGCGGGGCCTACTTGGCGTTCTGGTTAAGCCTCATGGCGTTGATACACTTCCCGAGCGTCAGCAGGGAGCTGTTAATGTTTCCCGCCTCCTTCAGCCGGACTCCGGTGTTGCGAGTTCGAGAGCAGCGCTCCGAGCCGGCCAGGTCGCACAGAGCCAGCCTGAACACACGAGATTGGGTCAGAACTAGACGGAAAAGACTGGAGGCAGAGATACAAGGGCAGAGACTCACTCGCTGATGCCGAGGACTTTGGGAACCCCAACATCGTTGATGCGGAGGATCCTGATGGAAAAGATACTGTGGCTGCAGAAACACAAAGCACTTCCTGTTAGACGTGGACCGGACCACAGGGCAGCTTCTGGTAGAACTGGACCCTGACCTCCTGCTGGACAGCTGGTTCAGACGGGTAGAGAAGCAGCTCTGGTTCTTCTTTCCGATCTTCATCACTCTGAAGGCTTCCTCGGAGCTGTTCACCTGGACCCAGCGCAGGTCTGTAACACAGAACCAGAACCAACAAACCTTCAAGAGCTTCCAACAATGTTCAGTCAGGTCATCTGGACGGTTTCTTCTTTTGTGCCGAGTAAGCTGTTGAGGGAAGAATCAGTTGTGTGTTGTATGTTTCCTTGACTAAAGAAGCCTTCTGGATGGAAGGTGAAGGGTGGGGTGTGCAGTTCGGTTCAGTAGTTCAGTGCGCTCGGTTCTGTTAACGGGGCGGGGCGCTCGCTTGTGTAAGAAGAAACACCGACGTATTTACGTCATGAAATTAACATATCATGATATCATTTAATTTCCCGGGCAATCTTTTTTACTGGTATTATCATGAACGAAATGGCCCGGACCTACACCTGGACCTACATATGGACCTGGACCCACATCTGAACCCACACCTACACCTGGACCCACATCTGGACCTACATCTGGACCTGGACCAACATCTGGACCTACACCTGGACCCACATCTGGACCTAAACCTGGACCCACACTTGGACCTACACCTGGACCCAAATCTGGACCCACACCAACACCTGGACCCTCATCTGGACCTACACTTGGACCTACACCTGGACCCACATTTGGTCCTACACCTAAACCTGGACCCTCATCTGGACCTACACCTGGACCCACACCTGGACCTACATCTACACTTGGACCTACATCTGAACCTGGACCCACACTGGACCTACACCTGGACCCACATCTGGACCTACACCTGGACCCACACTTGGATCTACA